CTGGAGAGGTTGCGAAATTTGCATCTCCCTTGCACTCGGTAAAGCTCTATGAGCATCTCTCTCTCTCTCTCTCTCTCTCTCTCTCTCTCTCTCTCTCTCTCCCTCTCTCGCTCGCTCGCTCTCTCTTACTCTCTCAGTTCTCAGTTCGTGGTGGCGCTGGGTATCTGCGTATTATTTATTCAGAACAGGTGTGGCAACCCGACGCGGGACGGGAGGTGTGGGGAGGGGGAGTCGGGTCAGCTTAGTGGAAGCCCCTGTGCACTTGCTGCGAATAAGAGAGAGAGAGGAGGGGAGAGGGGGGTGCGGGATTGCTCCTCATGATGGGCCAGAGTGTAGTGTCACACTGTTTGTGACCGGCCCGACTTGTTGCCCGGGCCAGCGAGCGGGGAGGGAGGGAGGAAGCGAGCGAGGGAGAGAGCGAGGGAGGGAGAGAGGGAGGAAGAGAGGGAGGGAGAGAGAGAGAAGGGGGGAGGAGGAGGAGGAGGTGGAGGAGGAGGCGGCGAGATGTAGGGAGAGGGAGACGCCCCTGTCCCACGCGTCGAGTCCCGCCCGCTGCTGCTCCGCTGCGCTGCCGCGGAGCGCCCGCCGCCCACGGCGTAGGCCGCCCGCCCGGCACGCCTGCGCGACGGGCCTGCAGGCCGGAGCACTGCGGGCGCCGGGCCGAGCAGGCGACGACGCGCCACCTCGTCCTTTTTAGGGGTCGCTCTGTGAGAATTAATCTATCCTGTGCCTTGGGGAAAAAATAATTCTAAAAGAATATCCTTTTTTCCTGAAATTTTCTCTTTGAAACAAAATTATTCTTTAAAAAAAATATATCTGAAAATTTGTCTTGTTCCCCAGGTTACTGGACAACAACCAGCTGTCATGTGTGGACGAAGGCGCCTTCGACGGGTTGCGCGAGCTCGACGTGCTGTGAGTACCAAAAACTTGTCTGGAGCCTGTCTTTTGTACTGAGTACACTCGGCCGAGTACACATTTTTGTCAGCCGGGGCCCAGTACTCGACCTTTCGGGTTGTCGGTTGTCGATGATTGCCTTCTTACTCACTGCCTCCTTTCCTCCCCCTCCAGGACGCTGAACAACAACAACCTGACGTGGCTGCGCTCCGAGACGTTCGCCGGGCTGACGCGGCTGCGCGCGCTGCGCCTGTCGGAGAACGCCCTTCGCTGCGACTGCCACCTGGCCTGGCTGGCGCGCTGGCTGCGCCGCTCGCCCCGCCTCGCCCTCTACACCCGCTGCGCCTCGCCCGCCCACCTCCAGGACCTCAGCGTCGCCGACCTCCACGACAACGAGTTTGCATGCGCGGGTAATTCAAAAAGACCCCCCAAAAATTTAAACAAATGCCAGAAGTAACAAGATTTTTTTAAAAAATTAAAAAAAAAATCGAATGCAGTTACAAAGAAAAATATTTAAAATTCAAAAAAAAAATATCTAAATTTTTTTTAAAAAATTCCAAAATGTTTCAAAAAATTTCAAAGAAAATTACCCAATTTCCGCCAAGGCTATTTCAAAAAAACGTGTTGATTGTTTCGCCCTTAGGCTCGTCGCCGGCGCCGCCCATGGAGTGTGCGGGCGAGCCGCGATGCCCGGCGCCCTGCCGCTGCCAGGACACGGTCGTGGACTGCCGGGAGAAGGGGCTGACGGCCGTGCCCGAGCACCTCCCGGAGGGCACCACCGAGCTGTGAGTTTCCTCATCATCATCACCAGCAGCAGCGGCACCCTGCCCGCTGCCTGCGTAGCTGTTCTCGTGATTATTATCGGGACGTGACGCGTCGACTACATTGGCGACGCGCGGAGATTGTTTTCGAGGACGGGTTGGGGGGGAGTGTATGGTACTAGTAGTAGTTGTAGTCCGCGAAAGTGTGGAGATGAGATGTCACCACTGCGCGTGCGGCGCCGGTATGGTGTGACAAGTTTGGTGGGGAATTAATGTGAAAGTTTTGAAAGGAGGGGACCGGAGGGGGAAGGGGGGGGGGAGGTGATGGCGCGAAACAAGGCGTCGCCCGCGGTAACAGTTAGAGGGAATCCATTACCGCGCGTACGTCAGTAGGGTTGGGGAAGCCCTATGGAAAGTTTCCGTAAAATTTCAGGAAGAAACGGAAAATTTCAGGAAGAAACGGATAATTTCAGAAAAATTTTAGAAAGTAGGGGAAAATTTCAGGAAAAAGAAAAAAATCCAGAAGCTTTTAGTTATTTTCAGGGAAATTTCGTTTGTTTTTTTTCTACCATAGACGTCCTTAGTCGACTGCACACCCGGGGCGGGGCGGGGCTCCGCGTGCCTGTGCGGGCACTTTCAGTTGTCGCCATATATTCCTACTTTAGTGTGCGCTCAATTATTATTTTTACTAAGTAGTTGAGGGTTTTTTTAAAAAAAAAATAGTTTTCCCTGCCTCCTATACCTGCGTTTTCTCTCTCTCCCTCTCTAGGCGCTTGGAGCAGAACAAGATCACTGAGATTCATACAAAGGCATTCACCCCGTACAAGCGGCTGCAGCGCATGTAAGTACCACATCAGGCCCGCTTTCCTTTTGTACCCCCCCC